TCCCTGGAGGTGTTCAAGGCCAGGTTGGATGGGGCTTTGAGCAACCTGGTCTGGTGGGAGGTGTGCCCGCCCCCCGCCGGGGGGGGGGGGGGGGGGGGGGGGGGGGGGGGGGGGGGGGGGGGGGATCTCTCCGGTGACAGCCCCGAGGCCCCGTACGGCCGGCCCGGGAGCCGCAGACTGTCACCCCCAGGGCCGCGTCCTGCCTGCCGGGGCTCTCAAGGCCTCACCGGGGCCTGAAGGCCGCTCTCAAAACCTGCTTTTACCGGAAAAACGGCTCCAAAGCGCACGGTTCAGCCCGTTCCTCTGTTCTCTCCATCCCTGGAGGGGTTCAAGGCGGGTTGGACGGGGCTCTGAGCAACGTGGTGTGGTGGGAGGTGTCCCTGCCCAGGGCTGGGGGTGGGACTTGAAGGATCTTTAACTCCAAGAGATGTTTAAGGTCCCTCCCAACCCAAACCATCCTGTGATGCTGTGATTCCCAGTTCCCCCCGGCTCCCCCTCAGCCCTGGGGAAGCCCGTGTGGGAGCAAGGCTGGTCCTCGGCTGGCAAATCCATCCAGAGCTTAATTTCCCCCGTCGGTGGGGAAGCCCAAGGCCCAGGGACCCACGGGGAGCTCCTCCAGCTCAGCCTGGAATTTGAGGTGAATCTCTATAAACAGAACAAACCTGATCTCGCACTGGTTCCAGAATGACTCTCCTCCCAGTCGGCTGCGTGTTGTTTTCCCATAGCAGGATTTGAATACTAAGGAAATAAGATTGCAAAACAAGATGTTAATAAGAAAGTAGGGGTTAAAAAGAAGATAAGGAATCAAAGGTTTGGTTTTTAACGTCCTAGCCTTTAAGCTATTGTTCTGTAGTCCTAGCTGAGATTTGCCAGGAACTAGGGCGATGTCTATAATCAGGTTTCTGACTGACAGAGCCCGCAGCCAGCAGCAGGGCTGAGCCTGAGTGAGCACTGAGAGCAGCACTGCTCTCTGGTCTAATTTGAGAGGAGTTATGATATATTAATGCAGTGTCTCATGGGCATCTTTTTGTTTCCATATGAGTACGGCTGGTAGCAAAAAGGAAATGCACGCTCTTGGGAAAGTTTAAAAAAAAAATAAAAAGACAACCAAACCCAGAAAACCACACAAGACTGTAGAGGTGACATCGCTGGGTTCTGAGTTTAAACCTCTATGATCAAAACATTACAGGTGTAATCACAGCCACATTTAAACTTCTGTATTTTCACTTTCTTCCCACTAGGACTGTGGACTTCATCGGAAGCTGCTATTTTACCGAGATCTGCAAATGCAAACTGAAGAACATCGCGTGTTTAAAGTGGTAAGAATGCTCTTCAGCAGCACTCACACCTCCCCAAGCACTGTTTAACCTTCTCCCCGTAGCCTGCTGCAGTGCAAGAGTTAAGGGATGAATGAACAGATTGCATACTCGCTATCAAATTTAATTCTGCTTGATAGAAACTCAGCCCACTTCTTCTGGGCATGGCTGCCAGTCTATTTCTGTGCAAGTCCCAAGTGGAAATGTGACAACCTTGTCAGTAGTCTGAGTATACGGGAAAGCTTGCATGCCACCTGCCTGATTAAATGTCTGCTTCAACACTGAGATAATTGTGTGAATAAGGCCGCAGTAAGAAGTAGTTACTCATATTCTAATTAATAGAACATCCTCTTGGCAGATCGAGTTGTTGCTAGCAGATGGAACATGCTGTCACTGAAGTTCTTGGAGTTCTTTTATCCTCTTTATTAATGCCTGATATTTAAGAGTAAAATCAACAACTCTCAAATAGCTCACAGTTATCTGAGAAGATCCTTTCAGCTTCGTCATCGAGACTTTTACCTTGTTCAGATTTAAATGGAGGGGGGTTGTGATAGAAATATGGTATATTATTTTTAAGAAAGAAGTAGAGGAGCAGAAATATCTCCCCAGAGCGCATGACTGAGAAAGCAGAGAAAGGATTGTTCTAGATTTCAACTGAGAAGAGTAGATAAAGCTTCAATATTCCCAGTCTCGTTACTCCTACTGCTGATATCTCCTGTGCGTGGGGCTTCTGTGCAGATGGATTTTATGTGTGTGATGAACTTCTACATTGATTCCGATGGAATCACTGGTCTTCCAAAAAAAAAAAAATAAATACACCACCATTTGTTGATTTGTTAGTTGTAAACTAATCTGGATTACACAATTTAGGTCATTTGTTGATTTGTTGGTTGTAAACTAATCTGGATTACACAATTTAGGTTACTAAATAGTTCTCTGTGCCAAAGATCTAAAACTTAGATATTCTGTAACTCCTGTCAGATGTTGCCTAAATATTTAAGATGCTTGTTTAACTATGGTCCCTTAACTTCTTCAAAACAGGAGCATTCCGTAATGGTATTTAATGTTAGATTGAGCTGGAAAAGCCAACAACATCTATCTTTTCATCAGGCATTTGTGTTGTTCATTATTTCACTTCTCCTTCTAGCGGTAACGTTGTCGGTTACCATGTGATCTCTCCCTGCAAACCTTGCCTGCTCTCCTGTAACAACGGCCACTTCTGGATGTTCCATAGCCAAGCCGTCTTTGGCATCAACAGGCTAGACCCTTCTGGTAAGGAACACATATGTTTCCTTCTTTTCCTTAAAAATCTTGAATTCCAAGGCCTCCTTCTAATGAGGCGTCTCAGTCTAGTTAAAGCATATGGAGGGAGTGTAACATACGGAGGCGTAAGGCGAGCGTTACTCTATTGCTAACCCAGCAAACTGCTTTGGGGGTGGCAGTTGTAGCTCCTTTGTAAATGAAATTTTCCAAGCGGAGATTTATCCTCATCAGAAAACTGAACCTACCCCCCCTTTTGCGGGCAGAAGTCAGGATAATGCTGAAGCTATATTATAACTACTATAAACACAGCTACCAGCTGCTATTTATAGCAGGACGTATAGCTTTACTGTGCTACCAGGCAGCTGTCCAACGGGCACCCTTTTGGGGTGAGTCACGTTGTCACTTTGACCCTCTATAACTGAGCCCTCATTAGCTCAGGCTGAAGTTACAGCTCACTCCAGCTCGGTTTCAGCCAGGTGTGTTTGGATGCCAAGTGTCTGGCATAATTTGCCTGGAGTCCTCAGGAATGCAGAGCATTCTGACAAATCATCTCTCCGCCCTGCAGATGGGAGTCACTTATTGTCAAAACCTTTCAGTGTCACCTGTGTTTCAGATCAACGCGTTTAAAAATAAATCAGCCATGAGGGGATATCGATAGCTACATGAATTAGCTATATAAATACATCTGTGGGCAGGGACTTATTCTTTGAATTATGCTGTAAACAGCAATGCTTACAAGATCACTTTGGAAGAAAAATAGGAAATAGTCTAGATATATTTATCATGAACATGACTTACCAGGTTTTGCAATGATTGGAGTAGTTATTTGCTCTGAAAATAGACAGTTGTGCAATTTAAAAATAAGGTCACAATCCAAAAATACCTTTTTTTTTTTTTTTTTAATTCCTTTGTCTTCTTACCTCCTTCCCACCAGGTGTGAACGTGTTGCTCTGGGGCAACTTGCCAGATTTGGAGGAGAGCACAGATGAAGATATGTCCTGCATCTCTGAGGAGGAGTACATCAGATAAACGTTATCTACAATATACCACAGGATCTTCTCTAGATTCGTTTCATTGCTGTTTGGTTTGGATTTCTTTTTTTTCCTGCTGGTCTGTCAGAGCTTATTAAACAATACAGGAAACCAGGAAATCTGGAAAACAATCCTAAAAAGGGAAGGTATCAATTTCCTCTTTCACCGTAGCCTTCCTTAGACTGGTCAATCTGCCTCGTGTGTCTTCTGACTGTTCTGACGTGCCTTGGTTAGATCTGGAAATGCAGATGGAAGGTGCATTTACTGAGATCTATGTCTCTCTTGCTTTTACATTTAACTCTCAACAGCTGATAATCCTTCTTAACTGTATTTTTTCTTCTTTTCTAAAACAATGTTCTTTTAGTTGCTGTAACTACAGCTTAAAAATCTTAAGAAAGAGTCAGTCTGGTTGACTAGGTTCTGTCAGAGCTCTGCTTTTGTGGTCACACGGGCCATTGCCCAGAGCTTCTGTTCAGAGTATGCAGAGTTGCTGAATAAGTGGCTTAAAGTATTGGAGCTTCAGCTCTATCATCTGCCTCCTGCTTTTAGCAGCTTGTTCTCCAGGCACCTGATCCTGCTGGGATGCTCCTGGCTGGGAAGGCATCGTACAGAGTCTTCCCAGCTTCATCTCGCAGTACTTTTAGCATCTTGTTTCTGTAGAGATCAAGTTCATTTTTTCTCTCCTGCTAAAACCTAAATACTGCAGTTACTTAATGTCTCATAGAACTTCAAGGCTGCACTGGAGTTTTTCTTAAGGTCAACAATAAAATCCATCCAGTTTTACGGGGGTGGTTTGGTTTTTTCCCCTTATAGGGTAGGCATCCCTCCAAAACAGGACTCAGTCACCCGATTGGGTCTTTTCAGAGAAAGAAAAAGAGAGATCAGGTTAACCATTTGGTGTTCGTGCCTAACCCTACGTCCCAAAGCATACAGACTGTCTGGTTCCTGTAAGAAGTGACAGATCCAAAGCTCATTATCTGAGTTGTTACAGCTGTAGTATTTCAATTTATGGACTAAATACTGTCCCCTTCAGCTAGTCACCTGAAGGATCACCCTTAGAAAAGTCAAGCTACAATCATGTAGGTGAACAAAGTACACTTTTAAATCTGGATTGATGCTGAATAAATAAAAATAAATAAATCTGGATTGATGCTGAATAAATTCTATAGCCTCTTGTGGTACCTGGAAGAGGTGCAATGAAGGTACATCTGAATTGTCTTAGTATTTTTACTGTGTGTTATATATTTCTTAAATAATGGTACTACCTCTCCTGCATTGTTTAAATGTATATTGGTATATATATGTACGTGTGTGTGTGTGTCTTGTTTTGTCTTCCTGTGTTATGTCTGCTCATTAAATAAAAGATTTGGACTACATGGTCTTCTGGGCTGTAATAAATATGGATGTATAATGATATCAGACAATCAAAACAATGAATAGCACCTTGCACTTGTATTAAACTAGTTGAATAATTAGCTTCTTACTACTATGGTTTTGTTTTAGAGATCCCCAAAAGAATCACTTTCTTTTAGGCTGACAAACCTGACAGTTTCTCAGTCTAAAAAGCTTTTAGTCGGTTAACTCTTCTGTAACACGACATACCATTTTTTTGCCACTTTTCTGTGCTACGTGGATTTGATCCCGTTGTGACTGCAGCCTTAAGCTGGCAAGGTGACATTTCACACAAAGATTTTTTTTTTCCAACAGAATTCATGAGCTAAAAATACATCTGATTGTTTCTGTCTAAGTAAGTAGCACAATAGTTCAAATAGAAGTTCCATAATATAATTCTGTTTTGTTGCAAGTTCCACGCTTGCCATTTATAACCTCCACAATCCTGAGTCTCCTCTGTGTCGGGGCTGACCTCAGGGCTCTTCTCCCACCGACAAGCAGAGGATTGTAATTTCTTCATGTCAAGTCAATAAGGCTGGTTTTGCTCCCTGTCTGTTTGTACACAAGGAACTGGAAGTTCTACTCTGAACTCCTTTAATTACACAGGCCTGTTTGAGCTGGTTCATCTCATCCAGGCATCGGCTTGAAATAAAAAATGAGCCAACTTTCAAGTAAGTTCAATCCTTTTTTTTTTTTGGACAATGAAGAAGTTGTAGGTATTATATACAAAGTAAACAGCTGTCATCTATTGCCTTAGCTGTCCTGGATGGTACCAAACAAAATAATCCTGTCTAAGGATTCTTTCTATCTGAAATTAATAAGTAAGTTCAATCCTTTTTTTTTTTTTTTTGGACAATGAAGAAGTTGTAGGTATTATATACAAAGTAAACAGCTGTCATCTATTGCCTTAGCTGTCCTGGATGGTACCAAACAAAATAATCCTGTCTAAGGATTCTTTCTATCTGAAATTAAAAGGAGAACTGACTAAGCAGACTGTGGTAAAACCACTGCTCCTTATTCTCAGGGCCCTTGTCTTTTGGGTTAAGTTTCCAAGGATCACCCCATGTAGGGAAATACTTTCCAGTTCAATAGATATATCTAACACCAAACAGCTGGCACAAAACCAGATCAATGTTTCCAGAAGCACTCCCCAGTACTTCACCCCACCCAGGGCTTTGTTTGGAATAAAACAACTCAAGTCTCTGGGGCTGTTTGTTCTCTCTGCGCTCTGGGGCGTACGAGGTACCTGAGCTGCAGCTCAGCCCCGGCGTCCTCTGAGTCATTTGGAAGGTGATGGTTGTGAGGTGTTGGGTATCAACGCTGAACGTCAAGACAGATAACTGCCAGAATGAGTATCTCAGCAGGATTCAACCTCCCGATAGGTCTGTAGGTCTGATCCAGACCAGCCAGGGTCATCTTTGGTGAGGTTTCTCCTGTGAAATGTTACGTGGTCTTTGCTGTGCAGCCAGTGAAGCCCCAGCAGAGCACAAAGCTGAAGAACAAGAACTGAGTCCTAAGGCTTTCTCTCCTGCTCCTCAAGGTACACAAGGCAAGTAATTAAATAACTTTAGTGTCTCTAATCAGATCTGGCTTCATCCAGAAGGGACTGAACACCAGGCAAAGGGTCTTAAATTTTAGGCTCGAAGTCAGGGCTTCTGCAAGAGTCCCAGAGTCTCCTGAGGCTGACAGTGGAGCTGAAATCCAAGGAAGCAGCTCGGTGACCATGTCCTGCCTCTGCCACAGGCTGTCACCAGTCACACCATGTACTGGGCCCCTTCCCAACAGTTCTGCAGCTATCAGACATTGGGAAACGCAGACTTGGAGGTTGAGGGTCACAGACTTGTTTGGATGAAAACATTGGAAAGTAGAATTCCAAAAAGCCACTGAGGATAAATAGCTTTGATTCGGTTTTTAGATCACAGGGAGCTGTGTAATCACCCTGCCATCAATGGCCAAACCCATTTTCTCTCCTAACCTGCACTGCACAATGCGAGCTGGAGGGGTTGGAGAAAATCAAAGCAAGACAGCGATAAATTGATTCCCCTTCCTATTAAATAAAGCTCACTAGAAGAAGCACGTTTAAATATTCTTCCTTATTCCAGTAGAGATTAATGCCTAATCATCATCATCTTACATTTATGTAACCCCATTCATCCCAAAGTGCTTTACAACGACAAACAGCTAAGAATTCTTTTACCACTGAACTGCAGCCAAACTGGGGGATGCAGAGCAGCTGCCAAGCAGCCAGCACACAGCAAGGGCCGTGGTAGAGCATCCCTCCGTGGTGAAATCCAGTACCTGATCCCTATCGGTACAAACCCATACGGTGATTATCGAGGGAGGTTCAACTTGAAAGGCTCTCTCTTCTTGCCCAGCCTGGAATGCAGCTCCTCCACTTCCAGCCAGATGACAGACGGGTCACCTCTCCTGGGACAGAACCTGGAGTCTCCAGGTTTTGAATCCAAGACAGGAATTACTGAGATAGCTTTTATTTTCTGCTCTTCTCCCTGGCACGCAAGAGCTGGCATGCTTGTGCAAGCCAAGTAAAACAGTCATTTATTATAAATCACCCAATTACTTTGTCGTGAGAGGTCATTGTTACATATTTGATTACGTTTAGCAGCCTGTGTGGTTTCTGAAAGCATACCCCAAGGAGCAGTGCCTGTCCCAAGTCAACAGCCTTTGTGTGCTATTATTTGGATTAAGGGAGTGTCTACAGGCCACTATAGTATAACTAGGGGTGCCTATTGTGCAAGAAGCCCAGCGACTTGTAGACTCGGAGAACTTGCACTGTAAACAAAGCACCCAGGGGACACGGCAAGGGAACGGCACGTTGGCTCCACCAGGGACCAGAGGTAAAGCCCAAACTGGGCAAAGCCTGGAGAGGAGACTCCTGAGCAGAGCTCCTGCAGCGATGGAGCACTTCTGCTGCTCCAACAGGCAGTACCAGGGCTGTGAATAGATTCAGCAGGTTCAGCTCTTCCAGCACACACGCTCCATCACCTCCTAATTTAAGCAAGGATGCTTCCCTACACCAGTATTTCTGGATTTCTATGGCAATATTAGGTTTTTCTCTTGCTCTAGCACACAAAGTGGATGTAGCCTCTAGCCAAGTACCCATGAAAGCCTACAAAGAGAACAGGTTATTCTTCCAAACCCATACCAATGCAGCAGTCATAGAACAGAGAGATGCACCCTCCAATTCATGCAGTACAGCAGAACGACGAGAGACAAGAGCTGCCTCAAACAGCTCCTGTGAAATTAGCTCCAAGTTGTTGATGCACCACCTAAAATTCCCTCCTCTCATCAGGAAATATCCACTGGGCTACGCTTTGAAAAAGCATCAGCGTTTCCAAGCAGCTATTAGCCAGGGGGGCATTTTAGCTGCTTTGCTGTCTGGGGTGTCTCCTGTCATCTCACACGCGTGACACAAGCCTAACAAAGTGAGTCTGCACTCGATTGATTTCTCATTAGAGAGCACGCCTCACGTTTTGGACAGCAATGAGAGGGGGGGGAGAAAAAAAAAATAATAAAAAAATTACCAGGGAACAAAGCTGGTCAAATAGAAACCAAACAAAAATCTCTGGTGCTTTACTTCTTGTGTCACCCGAACGCTGACAGCTTGATGTCTCTGGGTACTGCCACACAAGGGAAATTAGCACCATAGCACTCTTCAGCATTGCCATCTGCATGTCAGCGTCTGCAGAGAGCTGTGCAGGCACTTAGGAAGCCAGGCTTGATGAAAAAGACTTGATCTTTTTTGCATCGCTCCGACTACGCCGATTTCCTGGAGGAAAGTGCTAATTAAAAATAACCCGGTATCGCTCCAACATAACTGCAGCCACACTCGGATCCTTCCCCTGCTGTGCCACAGCAGAAGCTTATTAGTTCATCCCGCTCCAGCATATGGCCCAGTTTGGGATAGGAAATTTCCACTAACGGAGGAGACAATGCTGGAAATACAGGTGGTTTGGGGCTCTCATCCCGACTCGTTTGGGAACATAAAACCAAAGAGAAACTGGTTCTGTGTCTACTCGGCACATCTGACAGTTCCAGACACAAAGCGAGCTCATTAGAATTAAATATAGAAAAAAAAATAAATTCCTCTGATTTTGCCTCTTCCTCTCACCCGTCTGCCTGTCAGAGGCAGTGCCACGCTCCAGCAACAGAGTGCCCAGATAAACAAGGTGGTTTGGGGACAAAAGGACGTTAAGAAAACTGGGAACACAAAGCTCACACGCCCTTTGTCTGCACTTTTTGGAGGTTTTTTTGCCAGTAGCTGTTCTTTTCTTACCCATTTCTTTTTCTTCTTGTTCGTTTTAAAAAGTATAAGTACATATTTAGTTCTGAGACTAGCAAAGCTTCAGCGAGAATGAATCTGGCCTGTTATTTCTATGTTACTTGTGGAACATCCCCAGAAAGGGTTTTCAGCAGAGATGGGTGATGGCAGAGCTGCTCTGGACGTGGAGAGAGCCAGCCCTCGCTGCCAGCAGACTTTGGCCTAAATTAAAGACACAGCATGTGAAGCTAGGGACCCAGAAACATTTGTAGCCAACAAGGACAGGATCTATCCCCAAACCAGGGCTAAAACCACATATTCAAGCGAAATGATGTGTTAGGCTGCTGTGCTGGACACAACATCCAAGCCCTTTCAATTACAGAATTTTTAAACCATTTTAGAGCCACTCATTTTGGGCAAGTCACTCATTCTCTTGGTTCATCACTGTGTACGTGGACACAGAGAAGCAGATGGGTCTAGGCCACCAGAACACCAAAGCTGCAACAGTCCCCTCACGGGGTGGGCAGTGGAGCCAACACAATCTGAGAATTATTTGGTTAAAAATGCAGATGGAATAACACAGGGTCACATTTGAGGGAAAATTGTGAAAGCTACTGCAGATTCACCCCAGCATCCACTCAGATGTTAATGAGCGCCTAAAATATTTGGAAAAAATTAAGCAATCTCCTCTTGTGCAAAGGCCCA